ACAACATAGGGGACAGTATTGAGCCCTGCGGGACTCCACAGTGCAATGGCCGAGGAGTCGAGCAGGAGTCCCCTAGTGACACCTTCTGGGAGCGACCCTCGAAAAAGGACCGGAGCCACTGCAAGGCAGTACCCCCAAGACCCATTCCCGCGAGACGTCCCAGAAGGTTCCGGTCCAGTGTATCTGTCCGAACGTGTCTCCAGTGTATCTGTATTGGTCCAGTGTATCTGTACGGTTCCGGTCCAGTGTATCTGTCCGAACGTGTCTCCCGCTACGTCCCACCTTAGAGTTTTAGATCATCTCGGGAGGCCCTGCTCTCAACCCCACCACTCTCACAAGTGAGGCTGGTGGGGATGAGGAGCAGGGCTTTCTCAGTGGTGGCCCCTCACCTGTGGAACTCACTCCCCGGGGAAATCAGAGCATCACCATCCCTCCTCTCCTTCAGGAGGAGGGTGAAGACATGGTTATGGGACCAGGCCTTTGGGCAACCAGGCAATTAAACAAGATAATCTGACGGGTAAGACCAGCAGGATGGACGAAATGGTATCAAAAGCAGATCTATGAGACAGCAAACACTGACAATGTAAGGGAGGAATTGGGTTTGTATTGATTTTATTGATTTTATTGGAATAATGCATGAACTGTTGGTAATTGTGAATTTATTGTAATTTGTGATGATTGTTGTGATGCAGGCATCTAATCGTGCCTTTACTGTGTAAGCCGCCCTGGGTCCCCTTCGGGGTGAGAAGGGCGGGGTAAAAGAACCCCAAATAAATAAAATAAATAAGGATACCGTGGTCGACGGTATCGAAGGCCGAAGAGAGGTCCAGTGGAACCAACAGGGACACACTCCCCCTGTCCAGTTCCCGGCGCAGATCATCAACTAAGGCGACCAAGGCTGTCTCAGTACCATGTCCCGGCCTAAAGCCAGACTGTGCCGGATCTAGATAGTCTGTGTCCACCAGGAATTCCCGGAGTTGCGAGGCCACCACACGTTCCAGGACTTTGCCCAAGTAGGGGAGATTGGAAACTGGCTGAAAGTTGACGAATTGAGTGGGGTCTAGTGATGGTTTTTTCAACAGCGGTTTAATTACAGCTTGTTTTAGGCTGGCTGGAATCTTGCCTTCCCGAAGGGAGGCATTAACCACCACCTTTACCCACTCTGCCAAACCCCCTCTAGCTTCTTTTACCAGCCAGGAAGGGCAGGGGTCTAGGATGCATGTGGTAGGTCTCGCCTCTCCCAGAACCCTGATGACCTCGTCGAGTTGAACAGATTGAAACGAATCCAATAAAACTGGACAAGCAGATGCTTGAGTTACATCCTCAGAGACCGCAGTTAATGTGGTGTCAAAGCCCACGCGGATCAAAGCGACTTTGTCCGCAAAGTACTGAGCAAATGCTTCACAGCGCACTGCCGAGTCGTCAGGGGACCCACTCGAGGTGGGGTTCAACAACCCTCTGACTACTCGAAACAGTTCTGCCGGACGGTTCCTTGCGGACGCAATATTGGCCGAATAGAAAGCATTTTGCGCAGCCTCTATTGCCGCGCCATACGCCCTTAGATAAAGGCGTAGACGTGTTCGGTTTGGCTCGCTGGGCTCTTTCCTCCACACGCTCTCTAGCCATCTCTTTGTTCGCTTTAGCTCCACCAGCTCCTCGTTGAACCAAGGGGCAGGTTTCGCTCGGCGACTTAAGAGAGGGCGCTCCGGAGCAATCGTGTCTATTGCCCTAGTCAGCTCCCTATTCCAGTGAGCGACCAGGGCATCGACAGAATCACCATCCAAGGCAGCGGAAACATCCCCAAGAGCCATCAGGAATCCTTCTGGATCCATAAGCCTCCTGGGGCGGACCATCTTAATGGGGTCCACCACCCCTGCGGAGGTTAGATGTTGCAACAAGTCTAAACCTGATCAGATGGTGGTCGGTCCATGGCAAAGGAGAGATTGACAGCTCCTCCACACCGCCACCTTCTTCCCAGCCCTGACAGAAGACCAGGTCAAGTGTGTGTCCAGCACCGTGGGTAGGGCCAGATACTAGTTGGGACAGCCCCATAGTTGCCATGGTGGCCATGAAGTCCTGAGCCGCTCCTGAAAGAGTGGACTCCGCATGTACATTGAAGTCCCCCAGCACCACAAGCCGCTGGGACTCCAATGTCAGGCCATGTAATACAGATAGTAACAGACAACACCTCTGTCAAATATTACATCAACAAGCAGGGAGGAACACGCTCACGAACACTCCTCTACATCTCACAACGCATTTGGGAGTGGTGCATTCAGAGGAACGTCCTCCTCACGGCCATTCACTTGCCAGGCCAGGACAACACCCTGGCAGACTCCCTAAGCAGATCATCGAAAAACAACCACGAGTGGCACTTACACCCCAGACAGTTCAAAGTCCTCACACGCAAGTGGGGCGAACCCAGAATAGACCTCTTTGCATCTCCAATAAACAATCACTGTCCTCTCTATTGCGCACGGCTCCACCCTCGCGCATCCCGAGGCTGTCTCGGAGACGCCTTCCTATTCCAATGGACGCCTGGCCTCCTCTACCTCTTCCCACCTCTTCCTCTTCTGTCTCCAGTCATAGCCAAAATAATCCAGGACAACACGGACTGCATTCTAATCACACCCTGGTGGCCACGGCAACACTGGTTTGCCCCCCTTCTCCAAATCTCCAACAAGGAGTACCTCCATCTCAGCCAGACCCCAGACCTTCTCACAGTGGAGAACGGCCTGGTCCTGCACCCAGACCTGCAATCCCTACGCCTGAAGGCATGGAGGATCAAACCACACTAGTTCTTTCTGACGAAGTCTCCCGCATACTCTTGGCGGCTCATAAACCCGCCACTAAAAAATCATATGACTATAAGTGGTCCTCTTTCAAATCCTTTGTTCAGTCACCAGGACACAACCCTGTTTCTGCACCTATACCCATGATACTAGACTTCTTAGTCCATCTCTCCAATAAAGGTTTCTCCCTTTCTTCGGTGAAATGCTACCTAGCAGCAATTTCCTTCTTCCGAAGAAAGTCTGGTTTGCCGTCTCTTTTCCAGGACCATTTGGTACAATTGTTCCTCAAGGGCTACAAAAATATCCACCCTCCCGTCTCCCCCCCCCCCCCCCCCCCCCCACAGTGGAGCCTGGAGCTAGTGTTATCCCAGTTATCTAAACCACCTTTTTGAACCCATGGCCTCTAATGATATCTCCCACCTATTGTGGAAGACGGCCTTCCTTGTGGCCATTACCTCAACCAGGAGAGCCAGCGAACTCACGGCCCTCCGCTCAGACCCTCCCTATGTTAGATTCTACCCTGACAAGGTCGTCCTCCGTACCGATGTCACGTTCCTCCCTAAGGTGGTCTCCCATTTTCATATGTCGCAAGACATCGTTCTACCAACTTTTTTCCCCAATCCATCCTCCCAGTTGGAGGTAGTTCTGCACTCCCTTGATGTTAAAAGAGCACTGTCCTTTTACTTACATAGAACTTCCTCCTATAGGAAGTCTCCTAGATTGTTTTTGAAATACAGGAAAGTCATGCTTGGCCATCCTGTGTCCTCCCAAGGACTAGCCTCCTGGATTGTCGCGACAATCCGTCTAGCCTACCAACTCGCAGGCAAAGACCCTCCATCTCACCTTGTGGGACATTCAACACGCTCTGTGTCCACGTCCCAAGCATTTCTCAAAGGAGTCCCCTTGGACCAAATTTGCAAAGCAGCTACATGGGCTACACCGTCCACGTTTGCCTCCCACTACAAGCTTGACATACAAGCAAAGAAAGATGCCGGTTTCGGCAGAGCAGTTCTTTTCTCCTGTCTGGCATGTCCCACCTCCAGGTCAGTAGCTTGCTATTCACCCATAGGTGCGCATTTCACGGACGACACGAAGAATAAATAAAGGTTGCTTACCTGTAACCGTATTTCTTCGAGTGTCAGTCCATGAAATCCGCACGACCCGCCCGTCCTCCCCTCTGTCATGCCTTTCTCCTAGCCGCTGTTTAGCGCTGGGGAACTAAATAATGGCGGCGCTGCTCGGTGCATATATCCGGGGGGCGGGGAGATGGGCGGAGCCTATACGGCTCAAAATCATTTTTTAAATTCATTTAAACTTAGAATGTTCCGAGTTTCTGCGCATGCGCAAGGAAGAACCCATAGGTGCGGATTTCACGGACTGACACTCGAAGAAATACAGTTACAGGTAAGCAACCTTTATATCCACACTTCTAAATTTATTCTTCTCTGAGAGAGTTTGTGGGCCCCTCTAGGACCCCCAGTACAATTTGATGGTATGCTTCTGATACAAGTGTAACCAAAATATAAGATTTGCTATTATCTGTAGTTTGAGGTATCCAGCGGGGTCTTGGAATGTAATCCTCATAAATAAAGGGTCAAACTCTATTACTTGTAGGGAGGGCATGAGAAGAGCAAAATAGTGTTTGTTTGATAGTCCAGGGCTTCTTAAACCTTTTCCACTCACAACCCCTTTGCACTCAAGAAATTTATATGTGACCCCAGGTATATAGCTATAGAAACTAAGTATATAATTCAAACATTAATGACAACAAATCAGCATTTGCAAAGCTTGCTGAACAGGCTAACTTTCCATATTGTGAAGTACAGCTGAAGCATTTACTGCAGAGTCCACAGTAAACAATGCACCTATTTACTAACAGATTTTAGTAAATGGCTGGCGTTCAGAAACCTTTGACTTTTGCCATTTTTTTTTCATGACACCAACATTGCACTCTAAGGGGACCCCATTTGGAGCCATGACTCACAGTTTAAGAAGCAGTGTGATAGACTAATAGCCTGCTTTTTAGGTGACATTGTCCAGGGTGCTACCAGCTGTAAACAGAGATGGTGTTGCAGAGTTTTGTAGAGTTGAGATACTGCTGCTATTTGATTCCCATCCTGCAGGATTCCTTCCTCCAGAACAGTTGGTGAGAAGGTGTCTTTTTTATTTACGTAGTGTTACAAGTGTTCCTTTTTTGGTGTCTTTCAGTCCCCTTCGCTCCTGGCTTCGGAGAAGGATGGGGCTTGCCACAGTGCGCCGCTGGCGCTTAAGCTGCCAACCCCAGCCCCCCAGAAATCGTTTGCGCTGCAAGTAAGTGAATAGGCAAAGAAAACTGAGCGAGTGGAAAAGAACTGCTGGGGTCGGGTGCAGTGACCATAATTGCCCCTATGACTTCAGAAGGAAAGGTGTCAAAATGCTCCCTGAGATGGTTTTGTAGAGCTGGGATGGCTCCAATATTTTCGGACTGGGTGTCAAGGAAGTCATTTTTTCAACTTCCTGATTCAGGCATAGGCAAACTTGGGCCCTCCAGGTGTTTTGGACTTCAACTCCCATAATTCTTAACAGCTGGTAGTCCAAAACACCCGGAGGGCCTAAGTTTGCCCATGCCTGTCCTAATTGCTCTTATTTTGTTGTTTCACGTCTAGTATTGTTTTCACTGTGACTTGCACCCTAGAGAAAAACAGAGGATTAGACTGGCCGGAAATCATGCTATCTTCTTGCTTGTTTTCAGACTTGTGAGGCTTTTAGTGTGATTGCATGGGGAACATTCAGATGATGGCGATAGGCATCCGTAACCAGAGCCAGGATTGTTGGTGTAACTTTCCAGCTCCCGGATTTAAAACACGTGTTTTCATTTGGGGGTCTACATGTGATGTTTCCTTGCTCTGCTTCTATTTTAAAAGGACATTTTCTCTCTCCCTCCCCCCCCCCCCCCCCCCCCCCCAAGATAAGCTCAGATCCCTCCATGTTTATCGAAGTGGAGAATGAAATCACTACAGTGGGGGGTTCGAAACTGAGCAGGTTAAAGTGCAACCGAGAAGGAAAAGAGTGGGAAACAGTGCTCACCAGCCGCATTCTCACTGCAGCAGGAAGCTGGTAAGTGTGTGTCCGTGTCTGTATACAGTATGATCCTGCAGGTAGGTGGACTACAACTCTCATCATTCTGGACTAATCCCCCCAAAACACCCTGTCAGTATAAAATCAATCATGATGGGTCTGTGTGCCAAATTTGGTCCAGATCCATCGTCGGTGGGATTCACTGGGCTCTCTTGAGGTGAGTGGACTACAGCTCCCATTATTTCCTCCTCAAACCTCACCAGTACTTAAAGTTGGTCATGATGAGTCTGTCTTTTAACAGTATGACTGGTACGTGAATTTCACCTACCCGCAAGCGACAAAATATGTCCTCCAGAAAATTCTGTGGTATGCCTGGGTCAGATGTTACCATAGAGTTACCTTGGGGGACCCAGCAAGATCCTACGTATCTCTCTAGGAATTTTCTAGCTTTTCCAGAGCGATTCTCTGGCTTTGTGGACTAAGTCTCTTTCCTCAGAAGCACTTGTTTTTTTTTCCTTGTGTTTTTTTTTCCATTTTACTTGTTGTTTGCATCTGGATTTCTCTGTAGACCAGTAAGGTTTAGTCTTAACTAGCATATCTGCCCAGCATGGTGTTGTAGGGGTCATTGCCCCCTGCTGTCATCCCTTCTTTCTCCCGTCATGGCTTTTTTTGTGGCTCTTTCCTTCCTTCCTCCCTTCCCCGCATAGACAGGTAACCTTCCTTTCCCAGTGACATCACAGAGAGCCACTTCACCTAGAAACAGTTAATCCTTCACTGAAGACAGGCAATTCAGTGACATCACAAAGGGCCACTGAATTGACACCTAGCAACAGCTTTTGTGCCACAGACAGACATATTTTAAGTATATACAAGGGTGGGTCAAAGGTTTTGCCTCTTATAAATGAACATATAATCTTTCTTTGGAACCTCATTGTAACCAGATAAACTCAGTATTGTAAATGAATATGGAATGGTTTAACGATGCAAATGGACATGGATTTAAAGCCAGAAGTCATTGATTTTTATAGTTTTAAATTGTTTTTATTTTTAAGGTACTCATTACGCACAGAGCATTTATATATATATATATATATAGAGAGAGAGAGAGAGAGAGAGATCTTCTATATAAATAAAAATGTAATGTTCATTTGTGGGATTAACAGAACTCAATAACCACTGGACGAATTGACACCAAATTTGAACACAAGACACCTACCAAAGCAATCTTTGTCCTTCACACACACAAAAAAATTAACCTGAAAGAACTTAATCTGCCACAAAGCTAAATGGCTATTCAGAGCATGCGTTAAAACGACACCCAATAATACCTATATGCCGTTAATAATAATAATCTGTGTCTATAATAATAATATTACATGCCTATAATAATGTCTATACATCTATAATAATAATAATAATAATTTGTTTGTTTGTTTGTTTGTTTGTTTTGTCGTGTCAGGAGCAACTTGAGAAACTGCTAGTTTCTTCTGGTGTGAGAGAATTGGCCGTCTGCAAGGACGTTGCCCAGGGGACGGCCGGATGATTTGGTGTTTTTATCATCCTTGTGGGAGGCTTCTCTCATGTCCCCGCATGTGGAGCTGGAGTTGATAGAGGGAGCTCATCCGCCTCTCCCCGGATTCGAACCTGCAACCTGTCGGTCTTCAGTCCTGCCGGCACAGGGGTTTAACCCACTGCACCACCGGGGGCTCCATAATAATAATAATAACTATGTAATATCTTTGAACTGGGTTATATGGCAGTGTGGACTCAGGTAACCCAGGGCCCTTCCACATATCCATATAACCCTTTGGCCTCGAGGAGACTGAAATGAGCCTATATTAGGTTGACACTTTGCCACTTCAGTTGTGTATTGATAGTATAAAAACCAGCTCTTCCTCTTTTCTTTCTTTCCCATTTCTCCACAATGGGCCACAGCGACGCATGGCCGGGTAAAGCTAGTAGATAAATAAAGAATGTAATGTTCGTTTGTGGGATTAACATAACTAAAAAAAAACACTGGGCGAATTGACACCAAATTTGGACACAAGACACCTATCAGGCCAACGAGTGACCATGACTCATAAAGACACTGAAAAACACAGCAGAAGAGATTTAAAAAGAAAAAAAACCATTACAATGCATTTACAAAGCCACATATATATATACGCAAACACACATATGCACAAATATATACACACACATATACACATATATACACACACAAAACACATATTCACAGACTGGGCCATAGCAACACGTGGCAGGGGATGGCTAGTAAATAAATAAATAAACATAGGTTGTCTTTCAGAGGACCTCTGACTTCTCTTTGTAGTCTGACATTGAATGACATTCAAGCAGCTTTAAAATGATGGGTCACAAAGCAAAACCCTGAATTTTTCCAAAATGGTTTTGATGCCTGGGTTAAATGATGGCGCCAATGTGTCCAACTTGATGGTGACTATGTTGAGCAGTAGTTTTGCATAGAGGACAGTTCAGGCTATGGGCTTCTTCTGTTATATGTTAATTCATAGCGTTTTTATAGGAGCCCCCGGTGGCGCAGTGGGTTAAAGCCTTGTGCTGGCAGGACTGAAGGTCGCAGGTTCGAATCCCGGGAGAGGTGGATGAGCTCCCTCTATCGGCTCCAGCTCCTCATGCGGGGACATGAGAGAAGCCTCCCACAAGGATGATAAAACATCAGAAATCATCCAGGCGTCCCCTGGGCAACGTCCTTGCAGACGGCCAATTCTCTCACAACAGGAGTGGTTGCTCCTGACACGACAAAAAAAAAAGCGTTTTTATGACACAGGAGGCAAAACTTTTTGACCCACCCTCATATGTGTGTGTGTGTGTACACACGCACACAAACTTACACTTTCTGACAATTCTCCTTCTCTTTTCCAGTGAGGTGGTGAGTGTCGCTTGCGAGAAGAGGACCCTCTCGGTCTTTTCGGCTTGTGGCCGCCGCCTGCTGCCCCCCATCGTCCTCCACTCCCCGATCTCTACTTTGCACTGCACAGGGTTCTACATCATGGCTCTCACGACTACAGCAACCCTCTCTGTCTGGTAAGTGTGAAGGAGGGGCCATGTCCCTAACACTGATGCCCCCATAGATAGAGTACAGTCGGCCTTCCACATTTGTGAGTTTGACTTTTATGGATGTGATAAAGATGATCTTTTTACGAATATCTACTTCCCCATGTGTGACTGTAGTGACTATTTTCTTTGGTCACATTGTACGACCTAGTGCAGGGGTGTCAAGCTCATTTTTATTGAAGTGCCCTCTCAGCCTTATGGTTGACTTCAAAGGGCCATTGAGTCCATAGATGGAGAATGCGTGGACACAGAAGGCCAACTATTGTTTTTTTACATAGCCATCAGTGCACTTTAATTTTTACCCATTTTGGATCCCCAGATGTTATTGGAGGACAGCTCCGATCACTTTTCTCTGCCATGCGGATTGGGGATCATGGGAACTGTAACCCAATGATATTTGTGGCTCTGAGGTTGGGGAAAGGTGAAAGGACATTTTAAAGCCAGGCATCTTATCCACAAATCTTTAATCTAAATGTAACCCCACTCTCCTGACTAAACAGAACAAGCCGCAGCCTTTCATATGTGACTGCATCAGAACTCCCATCAACTCTAGTCATGATGTAGTCTAGGGTCACATCAATGGACATGGTGTACCTTTTCCTGGAATCAAGTTAACATCGGCTGAAGTCCAGTTGCAATTTTCAACGAGTGTAGGATCATTGAGTTAACAAAGTTCCCACTGATTTCAGTGGGTTGGTTTTATTTGAGACTCACAACTGAATTTTGGGACTGTCAGCTGGAAAAGACCTGATAGGGTAGCATTGCGCATTTTGGAATTTTTTTAAGATTTTGGAATATTTGCATATACATAATCTTGAGGATGGAACTCAAGTCAAAACACGGTTCACGTACATTTCATATACACCTCGTACAGTAGTATACGGGACAGTGAAGATTGGGAATTAATAGAAATGAACAAGTTAAACATGTTGTTGAAGGATAAGTAATTGGATACATTCTTTTAAAAAGTAAAAAAAATTATAAATATATAGCTGAGGGAAAGGTAAAGATTTAATGTACAAAGTTTGGAGACATTAATATCCGAAGTTTGGATATTCACTTGCAAATGTAAAAAACAGGAGAAGTAAACAAGTTGTTGGATATAAAGTAGAAGACATTTTTTTTAATACTGTTACGTTTAATTCTGTTTTAATGTGTGCATATTTGTATATTTTTAATTGTGTGGTAATACTTTTAACATAAGCCGCTTTGAATCTCCTTCGGGAGAGGTTAATAATAATAATAATAATAATAATAATAATAATAATAATAATAATAAAGAAACCGACAAAAGAGAAGCTGGAAATCCACTTCTAAAACTAATTTATGTATATATTGATAGTTTTAGAGTTACAAATAAAGCAGAGATGTATGTTTGTTAGGTAATCATTGTCTCAGTATGTTTATATCAGTGGCTCCCAACCTTTTAGAGACCGTGGACCACTGAGACAAAGATTGGATAAATCATGGACCATCAAGATCAATCAACCCTCTCCCCACCACCTGGACAAAAATAAATGTAAAATGTTTTTAAAGAACTAGAATGTCTTAATCATATTAACATCCACATATACATTTTTATTTTGTGTTATAAAGGCAAACACCTTGGATTGATACTATTGCTCAATGCCATGCATGTGTCGTGGCACTGAGTACTAGAAGATTGGCTCTTGGTAGTAGTAGACTCCCAGACTGGCTTTTGAAGCCCAGATATTAGGCTCCTGTTTTTGGGCTTCAAGATCCAGTCTGGTAGAATGGGCTCCCAAGAGCTCTTCCACTGGCTCAACCAAAGAGAGAAAGCATACCCACGTGCTTCCTTCCTCTCCCTTGTTTCCTCATGAGGAACCAGTGATGGAGCTTCCCTTGGCCCCCGCCTTCACTGAAGGCAGGCTTTGGCTGTCTCCTCCTCCGTGCAATCCAGCCTGCCTGCAAACGGGGCTTCCTTCCTTGCCGCAGAAGCAGGTAAGGAATGAAGGATTCAATGTCACCATTCCTGCTTCCGCCCTTTGCTCAGTGTTGGACCCTTCTTTACCTGTGCTTGAGGAGACTACTGCCAGAGCCCCATTTGCAATCTCTTTGTAACCCAGCCCTCTGCCATCTGGGCCTGCAAATGGGACTCTGACAAGAGCAGTTTCAAGGCCATTCTTGCCCCCCCCCCCCCACCTCACTTTCCCAATGTCAGATCCTTCCTTGCAAGGCTAGATGGCAGGGGGCTGGATTGCAAGGAGGAGACTGCAAATGGGGCTCTAGCAGCAGCAGCCTCCTCAGGAGCAGGAAAGGAAGGAAGGAATCAAAATTGGGCAGAAGTGAGAAGGGGGTTGTCTCTTTAATTCCTTACCTGCTCTTGTGGCAAGGAAGGAAGCCACATTCATAGACTGGGTTGCAAGGAGGAGGAGGAGGCGGCAGTTGAAGCCCTCAGGAAGTGAAGACGGGGCCAGAGATAGCTCCATCATCACTGGCTCCTTTGAGGAAGCAATGGAAGAGAGCACATAGCCAGGGCTCTGGGACAAAGGAGAAATGGAAGGCCAGCAGGAGAAGGGGTGTGTTTGGGGGAGGGGGGAATTATATCTGCGAGGCCATTTCCTCAACAGCCATCACTATCTCAGCCAGCACAGTTTCAGGTTTTGGAGTATTTTGTATTTCAAGTATTCCAAATAACAGATGCTCAATATATAAGAACGCAGACTACGTTTTCATGTTAACATTCAAATCCTTACATTTCCCCCTTTGGGGAAATGTGTCCCTTTCTGGGCTTGAAATAGTTGTACTTCATCTTATTTTTTTCAGGAATGTTCAGAAACGCTCGGTCGTGGTGAAAGATGAGTCTCTGCAAACCATTTTAGCGGGTAAGGATGCCAAAAGGCTACATACTAAGCCAGGGGTCCGTAAACTTTTTAAGTGAGGGCCGGTTTATGGTCCCTCAGGCTGTTGAAGGTCAGACTATAGTTTGGAAAGAAAAACATGAATGAATTCCTATGCGCACTGCACCTATCTTATTTGTAGTTCAAAAAGCAAAAAAACCCCAAAAATACAAGGAAGAACAATACAGTATTTAAAATGAAGACCAGATTTATCCAACATAAATTTACAAATATTTTAAGGGGAAGTGTGGGCCTACTTTTGGCTAATGAAATTTTTAGGTTAATTAGTATTGTTGATGTTGTTGTGTGCCATTAAGGTGTTTCAGACTTAGGTGGGCCTAAGTCTAAAGTTTAGGGCAGGGTGCGGGTAAATGGCCTAGAGAAACTGCTTCTCTGCTACTTTTCCCAACTGCTTTTGAGTTGCATTTTTCAGTCTTTCCTAGCAGTCACTACTGTTCTTCTAGCTTTGACTCATTAATATTAATAACAGGGGCTGGAAGCAAGGAGCATGTAACACACAGGCTCTTTAAATCCACTGATTGGAATCCAGAACAAAAATAGTTTGTGAATCAAAACAAATAAAATTATTATTATATTATATTACTAAGTTTTGACCAGGTCTATGATTTGTGGGGGCCGCAGTGTTCTATTGGAGGCAAATCGGGTGAAGGTACTGCAAATCCCATCATTTGTGGTCAATTCTCCCCCAAACTTTACCAGAGTGTGAGGTGGGTCATGGGGGTTTGTGTGCCAAGTTTGGTCCAGATCCGTCATTCGTGAGGGTCGCAGTGGTCCCAGGAAGTGAGTGAAGGTACTGCAAATCTCATAATCCGTAGCCCATCCTCCCCCAAACTGCACCAGGATGTAAAGCGGGGTCATTGGGAGTCTGTGTGCCAACTTTGGTGCTGATCTGTCATTGGTGGGGGTCACAGTGGTCTGTGCGCCATTTCATACTATTTTGTAGCTCTTTTTCCAGCTTCATATATTCTCTGAAAACAATCTCATTTATTTATTCAGAGAGATTTCAGCAGGAGCTTCATTTATCGAATCCTATATTCGATTTAAATTCAAACCAAGAGCATTTTATGTCTTACCTGTCTCTCCTCGTGGTTCGAGGTGGGACATAACATAATTAAAACAAAACATGGTGTAAAATACATATATTAAAACGTAAATGCATGCATTAAAATGCACAGAACAAAAATTAAAACTCACAGTAAACACAGAATGTGAGTTTCAAATTCAGAGTTCAAAATGGACAGAGTAGGCCTCGTCTCAGAGAAATCCATTCTCAATTTGACGTATAATGCTGCCGCTTTCTTCCTTCCATCTATAAGTATGTTGCTTTCTAGAAAATTGGAGGGGGGATGAACTCATTCTCCTTTCTGCAAAGAGATAGCTAAAATATTCTTAACGTTTGAATACTTCCTATCTTCCCTGGCCCCCAGTGGGATCTATCTGCCTACGTTGATCATGTTGATGTTGCAGAAAGGAGGCTTTTCTTGTGCTATGCCATTCACAGGATTTTGAGGCAGCAGGAAGCAGGTAATACTGGCAGGTTATAAAAAAAGACACACCCATATAACTTTTACTTCTCGAAGGAACAAAGCTGTCTTTCCTGAAGAGCAGGAGTGGGCTCTCTGAGTAGGTTTGCCCCAGCTCAGGTCACAGGAGTTGACATTGGGAAATGTTCACTGTGTGCCATCATAAGGTAGCATATGTGGAAATACATCACCATATTTCTTCACCTGTAAAACACCTTCAGTCGCCAGGCTTTTGAAAATGGAAGTGTGCATTAAAATCAATGATGTACTAGGCGCAAGTAAATACAGTATTTGAAAGGATGTCCTAAGGAAGAGGAAGCATGCTTTTTTTCTGCTGCCCTGAGGACTAGGAGTCATGGGTTCAAATTACAGAAAAGGAGATTCTTCCTGAACCTTAGGAAGAACTTCCTGAGTGTAAGAACTGTCCAACCATGGAACTCTGTGCTTCAGAGTCTGGTAGAATCTCCTTCTTTGGAGGCTTTCAAACAGAGGCTGGATGGCCATCTGTCAGGGGTGCTTTGATTGTGCTTTTCCTGCCTGGCAGTGGGATGAACTAGATGGCCCATGTCATATCTTCCAGCTCTATGATTCTACAATGACAGAATCCTATTGTTGGAAGAAACCCCAAGGGTCATCCAGTTCAACCTGCTTAAAATATGACAAAGGAAATATGTGCCTCCTCCAACTTGATAAGGTATAATGACAAAGGGAGGACACAATCCAACTCCTCCCAACATATGGCCATCCGGCTACTGCTTTAAAACCTCCAGAGAAGAAGACTCGCCCAGAGTCCCAGACAGCATATTTTTGTGTCCTGCTCTCTGAGATGTTTTCCCTGCTGATGCCAAGGTCCCTTTGCATGCGAAGCTACCTAGCACTGCTCTTCAATTACCCCATCTAAGCATTTGGTGTGATGTGATCCCTAGGAAGCGAAACCACTGTGTCTCAGATCTTGTTGACGCAACATGGCATCCCGATTATGAATATGTCGGATGGGAAAGCATACTGTTTTAGTCCATCTCTGTCATCCTGGTAAGTACCCCATGTTTTGTTCTCCATTATACTAAATAGGAGCACGACTCTGGCTCATACTTTGGTTGTCCAGTACATATTAGTTCAGGGCTTACGTCAAAATAACAGCTGGTTTTCCCTAGAAATCCAGAGGATTCCCATCTTGGAATAAGTGGGCCATAGGATGTAGCATTAATGTGTCTATATTTATGCATGCATCAGTATAGTTTGTATCTTTTTTCTGTTGGAAATTTAAATTAAAAATATAGAAAAAGTATGTACACCAACACGTCAGCGGTTTGAATCTAGAGGGAGCGGGTTGAGCTCCCTCTGTCAGCTTCAGCTCCCCATGTAGGGACATGAGAGAAACCTCCCACAAGGACGGCCAGTTCTCTAACTCCAGAAGTGACTTGCAGTTTCTCAAGTCGCTCCTGACATGAAAAAAAGCAAAAAAAACAAAACAAACAAAAACCTAGATTTTGTTGGGTCAATTTTCATTTTTGACTCAGCCATTTTGGATCCTCTTTTTGAAGAACCTGTGCATGACAAGTGGCTGAAACTTTCATGTTCACGTCACTAAATTCTCTACTTTGTGGATAGAAAAAGTGGGGTATAAATAGATAATACCACATTGCAGGTCTAATTCTATGGGAATTCTGCAACAGAATGTTAATCTGTTGAACTCAGTTGCTTCTGAATGAATTAAATTACATGACTTCTCCTGTTGCTTAAAACCGTTCTTGTTCTGTGGCTCATTCTTCCGTTCTTGCTCTGTGGCAACGAGTGGATTTCAAATTGGTTTCAAAGAAAAGGCCTTTTAGGTTTGGGGTCATGAGATACTGGAATAGTCTGCTCTCTCTTTGGATTTTCAGAGTACTGCTTCTTCATTTATTTTCCATCAATATTCCTTCCTTTCCCAGGAACCTGATCTCCGACAAGCAGGAGATGCTAGCGCAGTGTGCGGACTTCAGGAGCAGTTTGCCATCCCAGGAGGCGATGCTGTGCTCAGGACCTTTAGCCATAATCCAAGGGAAGACGTCGAAGTAAGACCCGGCATGTAGTGTCCCTTTTTAATGTGGGCCTTCCTCTCTTTTCCTCTCCTTGAAAGGAGAAGAATGTATCACTCCTGTGGCAGATTTAGACTATAATTACTTGCAGAGGGCTTCTGAAAGTTGGGGGAGGCACACACGGGCCGATATACATTCCAAATCTAGCCCTAAAGTTTTGTTGTAACTGAGGCTGGATAGTCCTGTCTAAATGCAGATTATCTGCTTTGAACGGGATGATACGAATCTACACTGCTGTACAGTCCAATTCAAAGCAGACAATCTCAATTCAGAACCTGGATTATTTGGCAATGTAAATGGGGCCTGGTATAATTGCCTGCCCATCTCCATTTCCTTCCCCCGTCTCTCTCATCTCCATTAGGCCTATTTTTATACTATAAGATGTCCTCTTGGTCATTGAAAAACACCTCTGTATTCACAGACGGCACTGTTACAGTTTTTCTTGCCTTTTAGGCCCGGTCCTGTGGTTCTTTTGCGCATTGATTCAAGAAATGGCATTATAGATGGCATCCAATGAGATCTTGGTTTTCTATGGGTGACTGGTATAGGGCGTATGTTCTGCATCTCAAAAACGGGAGCAGACGGGAAAAACTGGTGCCTTTTTGGAATCCGCAGATCAAATAGACCCAGAAACAGGGCTAGTGTTTTTACAGATGGTGGCTCAGTTATTACAACCTGCCCGTCCAAATATATGCACACTCTGGCTTGTACCCTTTCTCCATCCCTTAAGGGAAGAAGATTAGTAACTTCTCTGGATTTTGAGATCTTAGGAACAGATCAAAAGTGGAAGCATCTAATCCTCAGTTGGTGACAGAGGTGAAAAAAGCAGGAACGGTTAGTTGTCCATGGTTTGTGCCCTAAATACCCTAAAGGCACCAAATCCGGCTTGGTCCTGGAAGCTAAGCAGTGTCAACCCTGGTTAGTAATTGGGTGGGAGACCAAGAAGGAATATCCGGTATTGTGGGCTACATTTCAGAGGATGAAACTGGCAAAACCAGCAGTGATGTTTCTTTTCCTCAGAAAATCCTGTGAAATTCATGGGGTCGCCATATGTCAGCAAGGGACTTGGGAAGTACATCCACATCCATAGACTCTGGCAGACTGTTTCTGTCCCATTGAAGATGCTCTTGTCTTTATTCCTTATTGCAGTTCCGGAAGGCAAGCGGCCAAGTTGTTCTCCATGCCTCTCTTGGTCCAGCAGGAAACAACCCTGGCCTACTTGGAGAGCCAGGTGGCAGCTGCCTTGACTTTGCAATCGAGCCACGAATACCGCCACTGGCTCCTTATCTATGCACGGTATCTAGTTAATGAAGGTGAGGATCCCGTTTTCCTTTTCCACCTACCACAGTGGGAGGAAATGTCAATTGAATTGTCAGATCTCCCCCTCCTAGCTTCTCTCACTAAACTCCTCCAGAGTTCACTGCTTTTTTCCCCTCGTCCCTTGGACAACAGCTGTGTTTGGTTCTTCTTAGGTTCACTTCAGAGCCCTAAGAAACTCTTGTCTTTCTGTCTTGCATTCTACTACTGTGTATAAGTATGTATATGTTGACATTTTAGTTCTAAAACCAACTGAAAAACCTGAAAAACATATCCATGGGACAATGTAAGTCCTGAAACTACACTCATTGTATAATTGAGGGTGTCCTGTAGTCAAAGTCCTGCTCTCCGAATTGTGCCAAGGATGAATGACTGTGGTTTCCCTTTGTGTTTCTGTTAGGGTTTGAATACCGCCTGCGGGAATTATGCAAAGATTTATTGGGGCCGGTCCATTCCTCCTCTGGAAGTCAGTGGGAATCAACTGTAGTGGTAAGCCCTGGCTTTTCCTGCAGCTGAGAAATGTTCTTGGATGATCTGTTCCTCTTGTTTGCTTCAAGAGGCAGGGGTGGACAAAGGAAGCTTGAAGAGGCAGACTGCCAGTCATCACTTGTTAAGCTTTTGCTTTCTCTGAGAGAGCACAAAAATGAGGTCCTCTCCAACCGCTTCTGGCTCCAAATTAGAGGGAGGGAGGTAAGGAGGAGAGGAGAAAGAAAGAAAGAAAGAAAGGAAGGAAGGAAGGAAGGAAGGAAGGAAGGAAGGAAGGAAGGAAGGAAGGAAGGAAGGAAGGAAGGAAGGAAAAAGAGAGGGAAGTAGAAAAGGGAGAAAGAAAGCTAAGTAGGAGACAGGGAAGGAAGCAAAGAAAGTGAAGAAGAGAGGGAGGGAATCCAGAAAGCATGGCTTAGTGGTTTGAACCTCACTGTGGCACTGAACCCACTGGGTGATTTTAGGCAAGTCCCACTCTCTCAGTCTCAGATTAAGAGAAAGGTAAAACTTCTAAAACCACGACAGTAAATAAAGAGCAACACTAAAAAAACAGGGGAATTCCAGACAAGAATCAATCAGGGCCAGCTAACACCTCCCAACAAAGGGTCCCCTGTGCAGGAAGCAGGCAGGCTTTGAAGCTGCAAGGCCATTCAATGCTAATCAAGGTGACCAATGGCAGCATTCACACTTGCCTCCAGCAAGTTCTTCCTCCCACCCTGGACATTATTCCACAGATATATAAACCCCACTTGCCTAGTTTCCAACAGACCTCACAACCTCTGAGGATGCCTGCCATAGATGTGGGTGAAACGTCAGGAGAGAATGCTTCTGGAATATGGCCATAAAGCCCAGAAAACTCACAGCAACCCAGTGATTCAGGCCATGAAATGCAGTGCCTGACTTAGCAGGCGATTCCCATTGAGGTGGGAGGTGCTCTCCCGCCGGCCATGTTGGCCGCAGGGGGCTTCTTCTTCCCAGAAGCCCCCTGCACGGTGGAAGTTTTTTCCCACTTGTTGACCGGCTAGCCAACCAGCGGCTGGCAAAGCCTCTGACAGCTCACCTTTGAATAAAACTTGACAAGAAAACCCTATGAGAGGGATGTCTTAGGGTCGCCATGAGTCTGAAATGACTTGAAGGCACACAACAACAACAGCAGCAGCAGCAGCAAACTATAGTCTGGTCCCTAGCAGCCTTAGGGACTGTGAACTGACCCTCTATTTAAAAAGTTTGAGGAGCCCTGACTTAGGAGAACCCTTTGTGCCTATAATGAAATGGATTCTAGTTTTTAAAGGATTCACGTGTTTATATCAAAGTGCCACACATTTTTCTGTTTGGTCTGGTGCTGTCTCTATATTTTTTTTTTTACTTATACAAGGTCTGCAGGTCTGCATTTAGGTCTGCATTTAGGTCTGCAGGTCTGCATTTAGGTTCACATGTATATGTTGAACAGCAAATGTGCTAGTGTATCATGGCTCTCATATAAATGTTGTAAATAAATAAATAAATATACAGTGTGTTGGGTACCAAACTATACCAATCCAATGTTCGTGTAATCCCTCATCAATGTCATGAACACTGAAGGAATTGTCTTATTTTTTTCCTATACAGGGCTTACGAAAGCGAGACCTGCTCAAGGAGCTTCTTCCGGTCATTGGCCAAAACCTTCGTTTCCAGCGGCTCTTTACCGAATATCAAGAGCAACTAGACATCTTGAGAGACCAGTAGCATCATCTCCAGCGTTTCTCTGGCCCGTGGGGGGAAAACAGTTGCCGAAAAGCATTCAGACAGAAGCAGAGGGCCATAGTCAGAGTTGGATGGGAAGAGGAGGAACACGAACCACCTCCGAAGGTGTTCTAACAAACAAAATACTGTTCTGTTTTGTTTTGTTTCTTAAGAAGGTCACAAGAGGAAAATGTGGAATAAGGGGATGGAGAGAGCATGGGGCTTTTTTTCCAAAGGAAATTTGAGCATTGCAGTTTCCAGCTGTGGCCTGCAATGCAAAATGTCCTTCGGGGATCCTTTTGATTCTGGATCTGGTGATCAAAAGAGGAGGGCTATTTGGGAGCCCCTTGGATTTTGGAGATAATAGAAAAAGCACAGACGATAAGCCGAACATCACATTAACCCTCGTTTGGGGGTATCTTTGCTAAGGATTTCTTGCAGCTCTGTCATACATTTGGGTTACCCGAGGAGAAGTCCTATAGAATAAAATTTCGTCAAAATGCCTAAGGAATTATGCAGCCGACAGACTCATAACTGTGAATAACAATAAACAGGAAGCAGGCTGTTCTGTCACACGGACTATTTTTGTACTAGAAATTTGCTAACTTGTAATATGAGAAAAAAAAAGAAATTATTTGGCCAATAACCAGAATTTCGTGCCCACTCCCCCCCCCCCCTTTTACTGAGATGTCCGAAACTTAACCTGTTTAATTATGACAGATGTGTTGCTGAATAATTGTTACAAAAATTATGTTCTCTGGTTGTTAATTTTTAACTATTTCTAAAAGGCATTTGTGGGAGGGGGAATAGTTGAAAAGGGAGGGCTGGGCTTTGGGAAGTTTCTTTTTTTGTAAGTACAAATAATAAATGAACTGCATTGATCTAAGAACCAACGTGGATGTTCGTGTGCTGCTTATAGGAGCATTCAACCAGGTCAGCCGCAGCCTGTTGAAAAAATCCTCAAAACAGATTTTGCTTTGACTTGGGAGTCCATTGGATTTGTTTCTTTGGGGGTTCATCACGAAGACATTTTAATAGAATGCAGGACTGGAAGAATGAGGTTGCAGAAATGAATACCTGCCTTTCATCGCATAATAGTTGCCACCGCATAATAGTCACCCTGTTTTTGAGGTCCCAAAAAGGGTTTTTCCCTTTACTTGTATAATTGTCACTGTAGTATAAAACTGAAAAACTCCCTTCCTTCCCAAGACAGTTTCTGTGCTCCCCCCCCCCCCCAAATACAGTTTAGATTAGTCCTCTTTGGGGTTGAGAAGAGCGGGATATAAGTGCGGTAAATAAAATGAACACAGAGCTCTTCCTTCTCAAAGACAGCTTAAACACAGAGCTCGCTTGCTCTCCTCTTTGTCTTGGAGTTAAAACATTTTTTTAAAAAAAATCCAACAAACAAGGCACCAAATTTATTTCATCACATAATCGTCGTGCCCCCTTCCAACAAAATAAAGAATTAAAAGTGTGACTATTGTGTGATGAAATACCGTGCATCCATATGAGATGTTGACAATGATCATAGAGTAAAAGTTATATAAATGTTGTTCCTCATCCTTTACATCAGGTTGTCTCCACTATTGGTTGTCATCCCACCTTTACAAGTGTACTTGTAATTCTTTTCAGACTTAAACATAGCAGCCAAATGTGTAATGCAGCCATTCCCATGGTATTAGGAGAGATTCTCCTGATAAGGACAAATCAAAGGAGAAATAACCAGACAACTACCTGAGCATTTATCACATGTTTATTTTGTCTTTCTAATGAGCCAGGGGGCTAGCAAGCACTATCAAGCGAAACGGTTAATATATCAATGATCAACAAGCATCCAAACATTTTCATAGGCTGGTAGGGATATTGGGAACTGATTACCATGTGTATTCCACAAACCTATGACACTATCAGCTTTCTGCATTTACATGCAGAAAGCTGAACCTGCAGCTTTCTGCATGTAAATGATATACTTTATCACTGAATTTACAGTTCATCTCCATTCAGAAGAACTGGGACAAAAAGGTCTGTCACGTTGAGATTTCTGTCCCATATAAGAGTAGAAAATAGATTGTGATGTTGGCGCCTCTCCAGATGCTGAAAGTTGAAAATTAATGCTAGCAGAGAGTGGTCTCAGGCCCCTTCTATACTGCCATATAAAATCCAGATTATCTGATTTGAACTGGATTATATGGCAGTGTAGATTCATATCCAGTTCAAAGCAAATAATGTGGATTATCTTCTTTGATCACCTGGATTAAATGGCAGTGTAGAAGAGCCCTTGGTTGAAGATATGTATTACCAGATTTTGTACAGCAAGCCATGGATCCGACCATCCACAACTTGAAAATATTCCCAAAGAAAAGCAAACCTTGATTTTGCCATTTTCTGTAAGTGAAGTCGATAGGAGGGTCGTCCCCAGGAGGAGAGACCCTGAGACCCCACCAAAGAGGGATCGCTACTTTGGCGAGCTAGAGAAGCCTGATTTCAGCAATTTTATTAAAATCAAAATAATCTCACCAAAGTTGAAGAAGTGGCACTGAGGTGTTTTTATTAGCGATTCAGCTGAAAAGGATGCAATGTAGCAATCATTCGCCTACAAAGCATACCAGTACTAAGATCAGAGGCATTTTTATAGGGTTTACAGGCTTAGAAGTTTCAAAATTCCCGCCCTCCGCTCGGCTCGCAGGTGATTGGCTGACGCGATTCCAGCTGGGAGGAGGCGCGGCCACCTGCCCTGCGTTAGAGCCAATCACTGAGCTCCTCCGCTGCGCAGGAACCAATGGGAGAGCTCCTACCAGCTCAGCGCCCTGGCGAATCAGGAGAAGGGAGGCGGGACGAGGATGAAACAATGGGCGAGGATGAGTGGATTTTAGGATTTCATACCTTGGTGGGGTGCTTGAGTCCGAGAAACCGGCCTGCGAAAGATGCCCAGTCTATTGTCTTTGGATGGGTCTGTGATAAGCATTGATTGCCTTATCTGGGTCTTCCTGTCGCCATCAGTTAGGACACGGCGAAGAGACTGAGGTGAATGTTTGTCATAGCAAGTTTTGAAAGGAGGAACAGTTTCGGGGGGAAAAGACCTTTTGAGGGTCTTCCGCCCGCCCCCCCCCCCCCCCCCCCCCCCCCCCCCCGCCCCCCCCAACCCGGGTGATGTGATCAAAGGTGCCAGGCGAAATCTTTTCATTAAGCAGACAGGCTCTGAGGTTCAACTTGAGGTTTCCAATTCTATGTTTTTTCCATGCACAAGTTATCATGATAAGAGTTCTTTGTGATAGCTAATTGTCCTTTTCAACAGCTGGTCGCTTCCTGATGAGTTTCCCCCAAGGGGGCGGGGGTGATGGGTTGGATGCCAGGGCAAGAATATAGGAATCATCAGCTTGGCCCAATCTTTGCATCCAGGAACTGCGGAACTCTCTGCTGCTGGCTACACCTGCTTGAAGGCAGGGGCCTCGGATGCCCTCGACGACATAAGGAGCACCATTGTATTGGCCTGCTGTATATAATGGGATTTGAGCATCCAAAGATGTTGGTATCCACAAGAGATGTCTGAACCAAGTCCCAGTGGATACCGAGGACCCACTGTCTTGACTCAAAGGCTTACTCTTTGTATGCAGAGAGAATTGTTATTGAAATAACAGGATGTTGTAGACATGAGTAAATCAAATGAAAAAGTGTGTAGGTAAACCAAAATAAGCATTGGAATTGGAATCCCGGGAACTATAATTTTACAAGATCTTTTGCCTTCTCCGCCAAAGTGCTGTTGCCCCCACCGAACTACAAATCCCAGGATTCCATAGCATTGAGCCATAGCAGCTAAACTCCCGTCAATTCCATAGTGTAGCTGCCTCCTTTGACTTGGGCTTGCGATATGACCGTTGCAAAACGTCTAGGTTTTTGGACTTCATCTCCCATAATTCCAGCGCTTTTGCCCAAGCTGGCTGGGGCTTCTGGGAGTTGAAGTCCAATACAGCTGGAGAATCGAAGTGTGGGGAAACACCGTTGGTGGACAAATTAAAAATAAACAAGAATTTCAAATAAGCTCCCCCGATTCCCGAAATCCGCAGAAAAAAGTTAAAAAGGAAAAAAAAGAAACATCTTGTTATTGGAGACAGATGAGGCCAAAGGAGGTCCCGGAACTTAAAAGAACAGGCGCTTTTTTCCAGAGGGAGCCGATATGAGTGGTGCACTCGGCCAAAAGCCGGAAGTGGCAGACTTTGCGGCTTTTTGAGAAAGGGGAACGTTTGAGGCGCTTGAGTCGAAACGAGAGAAATCCTGCTTTTGTTCTTTTGAAGGCGGGGGCTCTCTTGTTTTCCTTTAGCTTCGAGAGGAGTCACTGAAGCAAGCGCCATGGGGAAGAGGCAGCACCAGAAGGACAAAATGTGAGTCAAAGCTTCACCTCGAATCCAAAATGTCTTGGAGGTTGGGGGGTGGGCTGCAAAACTCTTCCGCCTTTGGCCTAGGAGTGGGTTTCAGCGCCTCAGCCCAGCCTCTGTCTGCGTAGAGCTGTGTTTCTGATGGGTTGGGCCTCCCTTTCCCAGAATTCCAAAACACACCCAAACTGAGTGGCTGAGGGAATTCACACTGCATTCACACTGTCACATTTAATGTAAATGGGAAGAAAATAGGAAAGGCAAAAAGCTGGAACACTGTTCCCACCCTAAACATCTCGACGTCACCTTAGATCGAACACTAACATTTAGAAAACACTGTGTGAACACCAAGCACAAAGTATCTGCTCACAATAACATCCTGAGGAAACTTACTGGCACCGCATGGGGCGCAGGCCCAAAATTAATAAGAACATCAACCCAGACCTTGTCCTACTCAACTGCCAAGCATGCCTGCCCTGTTTGACACAAGTCTGCCCATGCAAAGCAGGTGAACATAGTACTGAACGACACATGCAGAATAATCACAGGATGTCTCAAACCTACACCTGTTGATAGACTCTATAACAGTGGTTCTCAACCTGTGGGTCCCCAGATGTTTGGCCTTCAACTCTCAGAAATCCTAACACCTGATAAACGGGCTAGGATTTCTGGGAGTTGTAGGCCAAAACACCTGGGGACCCACAGATCGAGAACCACTGCTCTAAAAGCTAGCTGGCATTGCCCCCCCCCCCCCCCCGCGATATGTGACCGGAAGTTGAACACTGTGAAAGCCACACATTTTATGGCTATCAGCCTCCTCCCAGTAGACTCAAACCAAGGAAAGGTTTCATGAGAACCACCACTCCTCTTAATGGTCCTCCAGCAAGAGCAAGAATATCCCTCTGGGCCTCAAAATCAGGCAATCTCAACTGGATGGCCCCCCACAAAGGTCTTCCTCCAGGGGCAAACCAAGAATGGGCAACATGGAAGTCCCTGAACAGACTCAGAAGTGGTGTTGGGAGATCAAAAGGCAACCTGGCAAAATGGCACTACCTAGAAGAATTCTCCACATTGTGCGACTGTGAATCAGAACAAACAACTCTGCACCTGTATGCTTGCCCACAATGCCCTGCCTCACGCATAGAGAAAGAACTGATTAAAGCTACAGACAATGCAGTCGCTGTTGTCCGTTTTTGGCCTAAAACTATTTAGCTGCTTGTGATCCCTTTATTTTATCAGTTTTAAACTTATTTATTTATGCAGTGCTTTTGACACACCTAATGTAATTTGACACCACTTCAATGGCCATGGCATCTGGGAGTTGTAGTTTTGCAAGAACTTGAGTCTTATCTTGCCATAGGGGCAGGGCTCACCAAACTTCCAGCTCCCAGGACTCCATACGCATTTAAAGTGGTGTCGAAACAGCCTTAATTTGGCAGTGGGACAGCACCTAGAGTGACACCTTTGCTTTCGGACACTTCAACACCCAAACATGAGCACACCCCCAAATGGATCCAAAACTCTTGTGTCTGCAGCAGCCTCCAGGCTGTGCGAGGAAGGGGTCTATGAAACGTCCAACAACTTGTCATAGGTCACAAGCGGAACACGAGCCAACAGTGTGATGCAGCAGCTTAAAAAGCCAATGGGATTTGGATATACATTAAAAGGAGTCTAGTATCCACATCAAGGGAAGTTATGGTGCCCCCTCTATTCTGCTTGGTCAGTCCTCTTTACCTGGAATACTGTGTCCAACTCTGGGTGCCACAGTTCAAAAGAGAGATTGATTCTAAGCTGGAAGGTGTCCAGAGGAGGGAGACTAAAAGGGTCAAAGCTCTGGAGAGCATAAATCCCTCTGAGTAGAGGTTTAAAGAGCTGGGTCTGTTTAGCCCGAGAAAGAAAGGGCTGAGAGGAGACATCAGAGCCATATTTAAATATTATTATTATTATTATTATTATTATTATTATATTTATTTACACCCTGCTTTATCTCCCCAAAGGGGACTCGAAGTAGCTTGAAAGGTTGTCATAGGGAAGAGGGAGCAGGGTTGTTTTTTCTCCCTGGACTCTCAGGGCCCTTCCATACAGCCATATAACCCAAATCCACAATATCTGCCTTGAACACTGCTATAATCCAGTTCAATTTTATACAGCTGTGTGGAATGGGGCCTAGGACAAATGGAGCCATGGGTTCAAATGATAGGAAAGGAGATTCCACCTGAACATTAGGAGGAACTTTCTGACCGTAAGGGGAGCTGTTCAGCAGTAGACCTCTCTGCCTCGGGGTGTGGTGGAAGCTCATTCCTTGGAGGCTTTTAAACAGAGGCTGGAGGGCCATCTGTCAGGGGAGCTTTGATTGTGCTTTTCCTGCATGGCAGAAAGGATTAGGACCAGATGGCCCATGTGGTCTCTTCAAAATCTATGATTCTATGAATTTGGTATTCATATTTGGATCCCATCTCCATTATGAACCTATAAGCAAATGCAGGTATTCCGAAATCCAAAAACACTTCTGGTCCCAAGCATTTTAGATAAGAGGGAATCAATCTGTGTTCATAATAATTAACGTTCACATGAGCCATAATATTAAGATTAAAATGATCAAAAGTTTGGAAGCCAAACCCAGCAATGAGCAGCTTAGGGAGCTAGGTATATTTATCTTGGAGAAAGAAGGCTGAAAGAAGGGGGTAAGTTTAAATATATGAAAGGAGCTCCCATTGAGGAAGGAGCAGCCTTGCTTTCTGCTGCCCTGGAGACTAGGACACAATGGAGCCATGGAATCAAACTGCAGGAAACGGGATTTCACCTAAACATTAGGAAGAACATCCCAATAAGAGCTGTTTGACAATAAAATATGCTTCTGTATCAGAATCCAGTGGAATAGCCTTTCTTCTCTTGAGGTTTTTAAGCGGAGGCTGGATGGCCATCTGTTGGAGTTGCTTTGATTGTTTGTTCCTCTATGGCAGAAGGGATTTATTTATTTATTTCAAACATTTGTACCCCGTCCTTCTCAACCCCCGGGGGGGGGGGGGACTCAGGGTGCTTACAATGGCAACAATTTGATGTCAACACACACAAAAACACAATACAACATGACATAACAGAGTAGATAAAACATTTGGTTAAAATCCATTTAAAACATTATATCAACCATATTGCCATATCCAATTCCGATTCAGCATCTAAGGACTCAGTCGAAAGCCTGTCCATAGTCCGTTCTAAAACATTGTGATTGCTATCAAGCCTGTAACCCAAATGTCTGGTCCCAAAACCATGTTTTGAGCTTCTTCCTAAAGGAAAAGAGGGATGGAGTTGACCTAATTTCGCTGATGAGCATGTTACACAGGCAGGGGGGCCACTACCGAGAAGGCCCTGTCTCTCATCCCCACCAAACGCGTTTGTGAAGAAGGCGGGATCGAGAGCAGGGCCTCCCTGGATGATCTTAAACTCTGAGGCGGGATATAGAGGGAGATACATTTGGACAAGTAAGCTGGGCCAGAACCGTATAGGGCTTTATAGGCCAAGACCATCACTTTGAATTGTGCTCAGCACATCCTGCTTTTTCTGCCAAAAACAAAAGAGTCAAGGCACCATGCATGCCTCTACTATCCCTCAATTTCATCCTCGCAGCAATCATGTAAACCTGGTAAGGCTGAGTCCCCATCTGCATTGCCATATAATCCAGTTTCTGAATCCAGATGATCCACTTTGAACTGATAATATGGCAGTGTTGAATCATATCATCCAGTTCAAAGCAGGTAATCCGGATCCAGAAACTGGATGACACATTGGTATAGATCCAGTCTGAGAGAGCAGGGCTCATCCAGGGTGTGGGCTTGGAATTACAATGAAAGCCTGGGTTTGAAACATACATCCCCTGAGATATTCATGGACTGTGATTCCTATCATTCTAGTCAACATAGCCATTGGTGGGTATGAAAGAAGTCCAACACTGCCTGGAGGTCAACATGCATTTCTGGATTCTGGATTCTAGAGGAGAGGCATTTGGTTGCAGACAGGCACACACGCTTTCTCTCCTGGGCTTGCATGCCACACGCACTCATTCCAAAGCATTTAAAGGAGTCAAGTTCTTAAAGCTGTTTCTTATTCTAGAGGAGAGGCGCTCAGCTGCAAGAAGGCACGTGCTTTAAGGAGCCTTATCTGTTTCCACTCTAGAAGAGAGGTGCTCAGTTGCAGGCATCCACATGTTTTAAGGAGACTTCTACCTGCTTCTACTCTAGAGGAGAGGTGCTCGGCCACAGACAGCCATGCACACTTTCTCTCCCTGGCCTGCATGCTACACACACGCTTTCCATGGCAAGGAGACAAGTTCTTAAAGCTGTTTCTTACTCTAGAGGAAAGGCACTTGGCTGCAGGTGGGCGCACGTGCACTTTTTCTCCTGGGCTGCACCACACCAGCAGCCAACCACATTTTCCAAGGCATTTTAAGGAGGCTTCCCACTTCCATATAAGGAAGAGTGATTACCTCCTGGAAGAGGAAACTGGTAGTAGTTTTCAGGGAATGAGGGTTTTATTTTTGCTTGCTGAGAGATTAATAAAAAAGATTAAACTGTGATGGCAAAAAACAATGGAGGAACCGATATCGGGTAGATTTTCATACCAGGAGGTCCCTTACCGTTCCTGAAGCACCGAAGGAAACAGAAGAAACGCATTCAACGCACAAGTCTAACAGACACATCAACATACTTAACAGCCACATAACTAACTACTCTATTTCTTCTACAAACATACACCCCCTACTCTAATTATGTATAATTTTAAAATAGAAACATGCATACATAAATCAGTTTTAAAAGAGGCCGGTCTCTATATAATTTAATGTGTTTTTTTCCTTCCTCCTTATATCCAGCAAATTATTAACTTCTGCTTGTTTTTACATTCACAAATCAGTATCCCAACAAGTTATATTACAAGGGATTCTTTGCATTTTTGATATTGGATATGTCTTTGCATATAAGGTCCTTAGTAAAATGCTTATTTTGAATATCTATTCCAAGTTTTCATAAAGCCTTTTGGTTGCGTTTGCCATGCGTTGTTTAACCCTGTCTTTCTTTTTTTAGGTACATAACATGTACAGAATATACACATTTTTACGGAGGAAAAAAAGCAGGTATGCGACCTGTAGAACTTGGGTGTTTTTTTTCACAGTAGTCCCTTTCACAATTTGTATGTTTGGAATGGGCTCTATAAGTAGCTCATTAAATAGACCTATAGCAACAGACTCTTATAATTCACAGCCATACATGAAAGTAGTTGTTTACTTGGGCATGCTCAATTCAGTCAAAATGTCCAGTCTGGCCTCTTAAATGTGCATGTTTTGATATGCGATGTAAATTTAAAAACTTGTTTGCAGTCACAGTTTAGAGCAGTGTTTTTCAACCTGGGGGTTGGGACCCTTGGGCGGGGTCACAAGGGGGTGTCAGAGGGGTTGCCAAAGACCATAAGAAAACACAGTATTTTCTGTTGGTCATGGGTGTTCTTTGTGGGAAGTTTGGCCCAATTCTATCATTGGTGGGGTTCAGAATGCTCTTTGATTGTAGGTGAATGATAAATCTCAGCAACGACAACTTCCAAATGTCAAGGTCCGTTTTCCCCAAACTCCACCATTGTTCACATTTGGGCAGATTGAGTATTTGTGCCAAGTTTGGTCCAGATCCATCATTGTTTGAGTCCACAGTGCTCTCTGGATGTAGGTGAACTATAATTGCAAAACTCAAGGTCACTGCCCACCAAGCTCTTCCAATATTTTCTGTTGGTCATGGAAGTTCTGTGTGCCAAGATTGGTTCAATTCCATCATTGTTGGAGTTCAGAATGCTCTTTGAGTGTAAGTTAACTATAAATCCCAGCAATTTCAACTCCCAAATGACAAAATCAATCCCCCGCAACCACACCAGTATTCAAATTTGGGCGTATCGGGTATTTGTGCCAAATTTGGTCTAGCGAATTAAAATACATCCTACATATCAGATATTTACATTATGATTCATAACAGTAGCAAAATGACAGTTGTGAAGTAGCAACGAAAATAATTTTATGGTTGGGGTCAACACAACCTGAGGAACTGTATTAGGGGGTCTCAACATTAGGAAGGTTGAGAAACACTGGTTTAGAGTGACTGTACAATTGTGATCCCTGGTTGAATAAGGTTCATACATTAAACATGCTGGGTTTTTTGTTTTGTTTGCTTCTTTGAACAGAAATTCCACAGTCCAACTTCAGGCGCCTACCTTTTGACCACTGCAGGTGAGCCTTGATCTCTATTCCAGTTGACTATACTATTTTATTCTGTCATACATCCCCTAAAAAGCTGTATTTAATTTGAATCTGCTCATCCTCCATCTGGGTAGGTAGCACCAACACCATGGGTGAGCTTCTCTCTATACATGTTTTGGACTACAACTTCTAAAATCTCATGCTGTTGGAGCTTCTGGAACAAGCATCCTCAAACTGCAGCCCTCTAGCTTTGTGAGCCTCCAACTGCCAGAATTCCTGACCATTGAACGAGCTGGAAGTTAAAGTCCAAAACATGTCTAGGGTCAGAAGACCCCTCACAACACACACAGAGGTCTTCATTGATTGGTTGTGGCTTTGTTTCTTCATATAGGGTCCTTTCCAGACCGATTTAGAGATGCCTAAAACTGAAGCTTTGTCTACAAAGCATATGTTTTGTTCCTGTGTTTCTTTCCTGCATTTTTAATTGCTTTGACCTATCTCCTGTGCTGGGGCCATGGTGGCACAGCGGATTACACCACTGAGTTGCTGAACTTGCTGACCAGAACGTTGGCAGTTCAAATCCACAGAACAGGGTGAGCTCCCACTATCAGCCCCAGCTTTTGTCAACCTAGCAGTTCGAAAACATGCTATTGTGAGTAGATCAATAAGTACCGCTCTGGCAGGAAGATAACGGCGCTCCATGCTGTCCACATGACCTAGGAGGCATCTGCAGACAGCGCCAGCTCTTCGGCTTAGAAATGGAGATGAGCACCATCCCCAGAGTCCGATGCAACTAGACTTAATGTCAAGGGAAAACCTTTGTCTCCTATGCTGCTTCTCTGCATGAAATCTCTAAATACTCATGAAAGCAGGCGTATTCTTTAAGATCATCAGCTAATGTTTGAATGTGTTTTATGATGTTTTGAGCTGTGAGGAGAGGCGGATAATAAAATTCTTCTTCTTCTTCTTCTTCTTCTTCTTCTTCTTCTTATTATTATTATTATTATTGTTATTGTTATTCTCCAGTTTTTCACTCTTTTATAAGTGGTGTATGCTGAGGAGGGAGGGTTTTAAGATGTCCTAATGTGTCCTGCTGATCTTTAATTTGTTTTTAATGCATTTTCTCCCTACCAGCTTATCTTTGCAGCCATTTGAATATCCTGTTTGCACTCCAGAAGGCATCATCTTTGACTTGTTGTAAGTTATTACTTTTCTGATCCCTATTTTTCATTAGTGTCAAATTAGTAAGTCAGCGAGTCAGAAGTTGGGCTAAATGTGGTTTCGAGGGGGTGCTCAGTAAGGGCCTAGATATCTCCAGTCCACATGAAAGTTCCTTTTTGGGGGCTACAAGCCCCAGAGAAGGGCCTAGTAGGTCATTGCATACCAATAACCAAAAAACCCACAAGAACTGAGTGATTCCGGCCATGAAAGCCTTCGACAATACATTGAACATCTCTACGGGGAGAAACTGTTCCAAGACACACGGAAATTGGAAAAACTAAGGACCAGGAAAGCACATCTACTGTGCTCCCTGACTTTCCTTCTACGCTGCAGAGACACGGATACCATCCCACAATTTCTCGCAGCCAAAAGGACTTTCAAAACACCACAAGCTCACCGGATCTATGACCGCCTGGAACGCAACCTCTTAAGAGAGAGAGGAGAAATGCCTCTAGAACATGGCCATATAGCCCGAAAAAACCCACAAGAACAAATTGTGCACTGCTTTTATCTGGAATGATCATCCTCTTCCAATGAGGAGGAGAATAGTGATGAAGGAACACCTGCCTAGTCTGCCAGATCAAATAAACTTTGGAGGTCAGTGTGGTGTCAGATGTTGTAATTTCCTCCATTTCCCATAGATAGATTCTGGGAAACATAGACCAAAATGTTGCTTTTCCAACCTTTGAGTAAGGGGCTCTCCATCTGTTTTGTATGCTGACATGATGATAAGTTGCACTGGTATGTTCGAAGCTACCATTTAATTTTAATTGCAGGATAGGAAGCTGCCTTATATCAAATCTTGGTCCATTTCTACTGGTTGCATCCTTTCAGTAGTTGAAGCTGGGATCTTTTCAGTTTGGGAATCATACCTGGAACCAGTACTTGGCTGCCATAGTCAGAGCAAGTGATCTTCAAGAGGACAGGAGAAGCCATAAAAACAGAAAACAACTACAATTATTATTAGTATTATTAGTAGTATTATTATTACTATTATTTTATTTATTACCCATCTTTTGACGTGAGACGGAGCGCAACATAGTCAAAGACATCTATAAAACCATATATTAAAACATAGTTAAAATGCAACCATGAAAGCATACACATATTAAAGTACATGACACAAATATACATTCATCATTGAAACCAACTGGGAGGTCATACTATGGCTTTTCTTACCCTTTTCACTTATCAAGCCAACTAGAAGTAACCTAGGTATTTTGGTGCACTGCGCCGATAATATTGTCAAGGCCTCTTTCACAAGATTGCCCACACTGGCAATCTTTTTTCCTTACCTTTGTGGCGTCCATTATTTTTTGTTCAGGGCCCAAGTTCCACTACTGATACATTTTACCTGATTCTCTGCTGCTAGGTGGGCAGTGTGAAATATGCAGAGTGAGTTTGCAGCTGAGATACTGTTTGGAGAGAGAGCTCTTCTCAGCTCACTTTGCCGCTGCATCAGGCTTTTAGGAGACTGAAAATGTGTTCTGATTTTGTGGCTGATGCTTGCGCCTTTGTGTCGTTTTAGAAATATCGTCCCTTGGATAAAGAAGTATGGAACGAACCCAATCACAGGAGAAGTAGGTGTTCTCGGAATGATTGCATATTTGTTTTCTATCCTCCCTTCAGTATCCTCACAACAAACTTTGTTTGAGGCAATATCTGGCCCCAGGTGAATTTTCTGTCTTACTGGGGACTAGAACCTGGACCTCTTGAGACCACATCCAACAAATTGGCCTCTTGAGAGCCTCCCTTCTGCTTTCCTGTTAGTTTAGCCTTCATTGCACAAAGCTTCAGCTTTAAATAGGAAGCATATATGTGGATGTGTGCCTGTCTCTCTCTCTCAACTTTTGCATGCTCTCACAAGGCTTCCTGAGTGTGCCCTCTCCAACTGCCTGGAATAGGCTGTCTTGCCCTCCCAGATTTTAAGAAAAAAGTGAAGGGGGATCACATGGTGGAGTACCTTACTTTGCCAGCAAAATGACCTCTTGTTTCTGGAGATACTGTGGATTTAGTGAGCAGAAAAAAAAATCTGTCAGCCTAGCAGCATACAGACACTAGTAATAAGGATGCTGGTGAGCTCAGTGGACCTGGGGCCTAATTCTGTATTAATCAAGGCTCCTGTGTTGCTCTATCCACCTTTCCTTATCATATATACTGTGTGTTGTTTTTCCTCCTGCCTGTTTCACAATTGAGTAAATCACAGGGCCAGACAACCATACTGTTAAAGGGTTGCTATCCCACTTTAAAATCCTATGTTGTTGTTCATTCGTTCAGTCGTCTCCGACTCTTCGTGACCTCATGGACCAGCCCACACCAGAGCTCCCTGTCGGCCGTCACCACCCCCAGCTCCTTCAAGGTCAGTCCAGTCACTTCAAGGATGCCATCCATCCATCTTGCCCTTGGTCGGCCCCTCTTCCTTTTGCCTTCCACTTTCCCCAGCATAATTGTCTTCTCTAGGCTTTGCTGTCTCCTCATGATGTGGCCAAAGTACTTCAACTTTGTCTCTCGTATCCTTCCCTCCAGTGAGCAGTCGGGCTTTATTTCCTGGAGGATGGACTGGTTGGATCTTCTCAGTCCAAGGCACTCTCAGAACTTTCCTCCAACACCACAGTTCAAAAGCATCTATCTTCCTTTGCTCAGCCTTCCCTAAGGTCCAGCTCTCACATCCGTAGGTTACTACAGGGAATACCATGGCTTTGACTAGGCGGATCTTTGTTGCCAGTGTGATGTCTCTACTCTTTACTATTTTATCGAGATTGGACATTGCTCTCCTCCCAAGAAGTAAGCGTCTTCTGATTTCCTGGCCACAGTCTGCATCTGCAGTAATCTTTGCACCTAGAAATACAAAGTCTGTCACGGCCTCCACATTTTCTCCCTCTATTTTCCAGTTGTCAATCATTCTTGTTGCCATAATCTTGGTTTTTTTATGTTTAGCTGCAGCCCAGCTTTTGCGCTTTCTTCTTTCACCTTGATTAGAAGGCTCCTCGGCTCCTCCTCGCCTTCGGCCATCAGAGTGGTGTCATCTGCATATCTGAGGTTGTTAATGTTTCTTCCAGCAATTTTCACCCCAGCCTTGCATTCATCAAGCCCCGCACATCGCATGATGTGTTCTGCATACAAGTTAAAAAGGTTGGGTGAGAGTATGCAACCTTGCCGTACGCCTTTCCCAATCTTGAACCAGTCTGTTGTTCCGTGGTCAGTTCTGACTGTTGCTACTTGGTCCTTGTACAGATTCCTCAGGAGAGAGACAAGGTGATTTGGTATGCCCATCCCACCAAAAACTTGCCACAATTTACTATGATCCACACAGTCAAAGGCTTTAGAATAGTCAATGAAACAGAAATAGATGTTTTTCTGAAACTCCCTGCCTTTCTCCATTATCCAGCGGATATTGGCAATCTAGTCTCTCATTCCTCTGCCTTTTCTAAACCCAGCTTGAACATCTGGCAACTCTCGCTCCATGTATTGCTGGAGTCTTCCTTGCAGGATCTTGAGCATTCTTGTGAAACAAGGGCCACTGTACGGAAGTTTGAGCAGTCTTTCGCATTTCCCTTTTTTGGTATGGGGATATAAGTTGATTTTTTCCAGTCTGATGGCCATTCTTGTCTTTTCCATATTTGCTGGCAAATGGCATGCATCACCTTGACAGCATCATCTTTTAAGATTTTAAACAGTTCAGCTGGGATCCCGTCATCTCCTGCTGCCTTGTTGTTAGCAATGCTTCTTAAGGCCCATTCAACCTCACTCCTCAGGATGTCCTGGTTCTAATTCATTCACCACACCGTCAAAACTATCCTCGATATTATTATCCTTCCTATACAGATCTTCTGTATAGTCTCGCCACCTTCTCTTGATCTCTTCAGCTTCTGTTAGGTCCCTGCCATCTTTGTTTCTTATCATACCAATTTTTGCCTGAAATTTACCTGCAATGTTTCTAATTTTCTGGAAGAGGTCTCTTGTCCTTCCTATTCTGTTGTCTTCTTCCACTTCCATGCATTGCTTATTTAAAAATAGTTCCTTATCTCTTCTGGCTAAGCTCTGGAATTGCGCATTTAACTGGGCATATCTCCCCTTATCACTGTTTCCTTTTGCTTTCCTCCTTTCTTGGGCTACTTCCAGTGTCTCAGCAGACAACCATTTTGCCTTCTTGGTTTTCTTTTTCTTTGGGACGTACTTTGTTGCCGCCTCCTGAACAATGTCGCGGACATCTGTCCATAGTTCTTCTGGTACTCTGTTTACTATCCTATGGCTGACTCCTCTAAAATCCTGGGATTTGCAGTTTGGGATGAGCCTTTAAAATTCTCACTCTGAGAGGTCCTGGGCCTCACTAAACTATACATCCCAGACAGACACAGGATTTAAAGTGATGCCAACTTTTTAAAGTGTAGTGTATTAATCTCCTAAAGCGTCGCAGATCCCTTCTCTAATTTCTGTGTTTGTGTCAAGTTCAGGTTGAAGTGTGGTGTTCTGTCACGCGCTGGGCCTGTAACAGTTGTACTTTTTTATAGGACGTATACTTTAAGCCCAGCGGGAAGCCAGGTGCACCTCAAAGAGAGATTCTTAGGGATTTTTCTGAAGTGATGGTCTTTTCTGAAGTGATGGTCTTTAGAGTCTTTGATGGTACTAAACTTTCTCTGTAGGAAAAACCCTTTTTAACCTCTCCCAGGCTGCTTTCTATCTATGCCTCATCGGTGTGGGTGCTACTACTGATTCCAAATGTGTCTGGGTATCAAGCAGACCTACCAGCCGAGGCTTGAAGATATTTCAGCTGGAGTTCAGTGGATCTGTAATGCTGTCCTCCCTCCGAGAATTCTTTGAAACTTGAGGGCTGTATTCACTCTGATTGCTGTGCGCCTGAGAGGCTGTGAGCTCTTAGCCAGAGCTTTTGGAACCTTTTTCCTGGAATTTCTGTTTCTGTATCCCCAGACGTTATTGAGAAAGGAAGCTTTTCTACGGGATGAGCTGGTCTACGTCCTATAGCTTAGCTACCTTGTGTGAGACTGGCCAAAAAATGGCTCCTTTCCCTCCCAGAGCCCAGAACAAGGGGCGGAACCAAAGTTTAATTATGATGGACAGGAGGCCTGTCCTATGACTGCAAAACAGACAACAGAAAGAAAATAAAGCTGGAGCTCCTGGTACAGCCGTACCAGCACATGTGGAAATAGTTTTGTCTCCTTCTCCCTCTTTGGTTTTGGCATCTTGTTTGGCAGGAATGGCCATCCCTGCATGTGATGGTTTCATGTGGGGACAATAAGCCAATGCAGCGACAGCATTGGGCTTGTGAGATTCTTGTCCCTGTATCACCATTCATGTTATGTACCCTGTTGTATGTGAGTAGATAATGTTTGGAGGCTGTCTGTAGGCCACCAAAGGCTTCATGTGTGGATTTTTCAAGGCTCAGGTTTATGGCAGAGTGCACATTGTTGAAATCCTGGTGGAAAGCCATCTGAAGTGATTGCTTTCCATGTGGGCAAATTACAAAGATGTCATAAAAAAAAACATAGGTAGCAGAGACGTTTTTGGGTGTATGTGCTGAGGAAGCATTACTCAAGGCCAGCAATGAAGATGCTTGCATACTGTGGTTGCCATACTGGTTCCTATGGCAGTGCCACTGATGGGAACATATATATTATTCCAGAAAGTGTTGTTGCTATGAGTAAGTACAAAGTTGCTGTATTGCTCATTTTATTCACACTCCCCTTTGCCCCATTATGTACATTTTTCCTCCCGCCTTTCTGGACAACAGTGAATACGTGCAGGCTATTTCTTCAAAACAAGAAAGAATTGGTCAAATGGTGGCATCCATAACACAAGCAATATGGGTAGGTGTAAGAGCTTTAAAAGGCTTTTCTGGCTCAGTGTTTTATATATGGTTGCTTCTTCAGCACCTTAATCAAGATACTATGCAAATGCACAAGTCGTAGAGGTGTGGTTGGTTCATCAAACTCAAGAGACAGGGCCTTTTTGGTGGTGACCCTTTCAAGGGAAATTCTTTAGTCCCCTCATTGTGTGTGCATTTTAAAGTAGGTTTTCAAAATCTGGTTGCTTTGTACTGGTTTTAACCAATTCATTAGAAGTTGTAAACTGTATATATATACATAAATATATATACACACACACACATACATATACATACATAGATACACACACTAGCTTGGATACCCGGCGTTGCCTGGGTTATTTGAAAAAGTCAGTTTTTAATTGTACAAAATGCATAAGGTTGCGAGTGAACTACAACTCCCATCATGCCAGGTTAACCCCGAGAAACTCCATCAGTACTTAAAATTTGTAATGTTGGGCAAGTTTGCTCTAGAGATGCATCATCAGTGGGGTTCCGTGTGCTCTCTGGCTGTAGGGTAAACTACAACTCCCACTATGGTAAATCAGTCCACTCAAACCCCTCCAGTAGGCTGAGTTAGTCATGTGAATTCTGTGTGCCAAATTTGGTCCAGATCAATTGGTGTTTGGGTTCACTGTGCTCTCTGGATGTAGGTGAACTACAACTCCTCTAAATCCCTCCAAAGACCTCCAGTATTTTTTGTTGGTCATGGGGCTTCTTTGTGCCAAGTTGTTTCTA